TGAGCCAACCAACCTGTCTGATTCTCTGACTCCCCTGAAACCTGAACCAGAACCTAACCTGTTTTGTCTTCTCTGCTTCCTAGGAAGAACCTGACTGAACCCTGGAACTCTGGAAGAGTTTCTCAGCTGAGACCAGCTGTCTGATCTCAGATGAACCTTGGAAAGTCAAACTGTCTGAACCTGCCTGTCCGCTCTCAAAACGAGAACTGGAAAGTAACTCTGATCTGAACACTGCAAAGTCTAAAGTCAAGCCCTGCCTCTGCCTAGCCCTCTGCCTACCTTCTGCCTCTGGACCCTCCTGGTTCCCTCCCTCTGCTGCTCAGCCTAAATCTCTGAACAGGTACAGACCTGCATTATTCAACAAACAACAGTATTTGGATCTCGGCTAACCGAACTGTCCCTCTCTGCAGAGAACCCAGTTGTGACCAGTCCTGGATCTGTTTCCCAAGAATCAGTTCTTTAATATCATTGCGTTTCAATAAACTGTTGAACTTTTCACTCTGAGTCCGTTTGTTTTGCATGTGCATTAGAAACCTTGATCCCAACATGACAGAACACTCTGGCCAACAACCTAACCGTCCAACTCCGGAGGATAATTGAACAACAAGGAGTTCAAATCCAAGGCCACGACTCCACCCTCCGTGAGTTTAATACACGCTTGGAACAAACTAATCAAACTTTACAGGAATTAGCAGGCTATCTCAGAAATGCTACTCCCAGAGCGGAGCCAGCTCAACTTCCGGTTCCTGAGCCAAACCCGTCTCAAAGGTCAGAGCCTGTTCCGTCATTTCCGGAATTCCGTCTGTCACTTCCTGAGAAATTCTCTGGCATAACTAGTAAGTGCAAAGGATTTTTATTCCAATGCAAATTGATTTTTGAACACTCGCCGTCGAGTTTTTCCAATGACAAGAGGAAAATAAGTTTCATTCTCTCTCAATTAACCGGAAGAGCCCTCGAATGGGCTGAAGCCAGATTTCCCTCAGAGTCCAGTTTCACTTGCACCTTTGACCAATTCTTAAAAGAATTCTCACAAGTATTTAATCAGGACACCGACAAATCAATTGATTCTCGAGCTCTGCTAAACTTAAAACAAGGAAATCGGACTGTAGCCGATTTCTCGATCGATTTTCCGGGTCAAAGCCACTGCTTCCGGGTGGAATGAATGCGCGCTTAAAAGTGCTTATTTCAAGGCTTTAGACGAAGAAATTAAGGATGAACTTGCCACTATCGACGAACCAGCTACCCTGGAGGAATTAATCAGGCTAACAATTCGTCTGGATAATAGACTTCGAGCCAGAGCCAGGTCTAAAGTAAGGAGCCATGTTTTTTCTGTACCTGCCCCAGTAACTAACAGCTCTTCTGTTTTTTCTGTGTCACCTGAAACCGATTCCAAACCTAGGAGTCGTAACCAACCTGCTTCTTTGACTCATGGCGTCTCTCCCTCCACAGAAACCTCTGATGTAGAGCCTATGCAGATCGGTCATACCAGACTCACAACCGAGGAAAAGCAAAGGAGATACTTGCTTGGATGGGGCCTCAGTATAGCCTCTTACATTTTAGCTTGAATTGATTTATTTAATTAAAGTATAGAGACCAAAACAGATCTTTAGCTGACAGAGCAATACATTTAGAGCAGTAAA